AAGCTATTGTAGCACCAGGTGAGCAAGATCCTTGCCGGTATTTCATTCTAATTATAAATGTAAATATACCAACGGAAGCACGTGCTAAATTTCGATAATTCATGCTCATCCAGCGGGGTATCGGGAACTTAAAAATGAACAATATTTATTGCCTACTTTGATTACGTTTAAAATTTCCAAATCCAAATCGTTTGACAGATTACCTTTTCGACTTGTGCGAACAGTGTAAACCTAGGGGAGTCTCAATTTTAGAATGCCCATTGAATAAGCATTTAATTTAAATCAAATGCATTTAATTCCATCGTTTGCATCAACCATTCAGTGCATCATGCATCGAGGCGAAGATAAACGAACACAACAGGAAAAGAAAACTCGGAGTAGAGAATTCACGAAAATCTCCCTGCAACCTTCTCCGGCAGCAAAGAAACTCTCCAAAGAAATCGTGCAGAAGCTCCCTCCGGAATTTTCCCTGCCAACATCAAAATCACGCAAAACCTGCTCCGCCGAGAACGTGAGACAACTCCGTATAAATTCCGTAGAACCTCCGTTGGCAGCATCGGAAATGTCCACCGGAATCATGCCGAAGCTCCTCCACATAAAACATGAGAAAATACCGTACAGATTTCCTGAAACTTCTGTTGGCAGCACCGAAAATCACCACAGTGAATACGAATCTCCGCTGGCAGAAGCAAAAACCTCCACCAAAATTGTACAGAACCTCTTTCGCTGAGAACGCGAGAAAACTCCGTTAAAATTCCCTGGAATCTCCGCTGGCAGCATCATAAATCGCCACCGAAACCGTATGGAACCTCGTCCGCCATGATCGCAAGAAAACGCCATCGAAATTTCGCATTTTTTATGTGATTTTTATGCATTTATTTGTCAACATCAACAGGCTCAATGTAGCCCTGATGTATTTTATTTAGTCAAACCAAGTCAAACGTAATCCTGGTGGATGAACCCTTTATCAGAACAAGACAAAATTTCTAGAATCTTTGTTGGCAGCTGCTAGAATCGTCTTCGAAATCATGCAGAATTTAATTCGTTGAGAAGGCAAAAAAAAACCCGCTGAATCTTCCAGGAACTCCCGCTGACAGCATCCAAAATCACCGAAATCACGCGGAACTTTGTCCATCGATAACGTGAGAAAATGGCCTCTTCCGCCGACAATGCGTGGAAGCTTCGTCAAAAGTCTCTGGGAACCTCCGTTGGCAGCATCTGAATTTTCGAGGGGAGTTTCGACGGAGTTTTCAGATATTCACGGCGGAGAGGGTTCCGAGAGATTTCGGTGCTGCCAAAGGAGGTTCCAGTGAGCTTAAACAATAAACAATAAAAAATAAACAATTTTTCAGTGTACCACATGGCAACACCACTACTACTGGCTTGTACCACATGGCAACACTACTACTAGATTGTACCACATGGCAACACTAAATGTACTAGAATGTTTTGGTTCTATCTCTTTCACTCTACTCTAAACTGAAATGCATAAAAAAATGACAAAATGATACACTCTTTGCACACTGTCAAAGATCATATTGCACACAAAATCAACTATGTTCAAATCAAAACAAAAATACTAGCCCATCTGGTGACTGATGGCACAAGCTTCTAAGAAAATTCTATTACAGCGAACCACATTATTTTAATTGATTTCTTCGCCAGTTAGTCGTCTGTCACTTCGTTTGTGTTTTAATGCTGCCACCAGAAATTTCGACGGATTTTTTTCTGCGGAATAATTTTCTCAAGTCAGGAGTGTGGATTTGAGCAAACCGAAGCGAACAACAAAACAGGACAAAACCCTTCATGTATACCTGCATGTATTGGTGGGAAGTGTCACTTAGAACTACACACAGTAACAAATGCACTGATAAAATGCATTTATTTTTTTTTTTGTTATGATAAATGCACCTCAAGTGATCTACCCCTAGGTGTAAACACGGTCAGATAAAGGGATTCAACATGATTTGTCAAAAGTGAAATCGAGCAGATTTTTCATTATGGCACACGGCGAATGAGAACGACCCAAATTTGAGTTTAGTTCACTCATAATCGCCAAAAGTGCAGGATGAGTAAATTTGTCTCATGGTTTCCTGTGGAAAACCTAAAAAATCTGCCGGAAAATGAGGAAATTGACGAAAATTTTTATTCAGTCTCGGAGTAGTACCAATAGACTGAGTGAATCCAATCTTTACTTTTCTCAAATTCGGGAATTTTTCCCTTGAAAAATTGAAAAACCTAGGAAAACATGAGACAAATTTTACTCATCGCTGAGTTCCTGCCCTTTTGGCGATTATGAGTGAACTAAACTCAAATTTGGGTCGTTCTCATTCGCCATGCAGCATAAAAAGTCAGACATACAAATCACATACACTGGAGTCGCCTAGGGGAAGGACAGCTCCAAGTATCAGTATCAATACCGATTGTGGAAATATTAAATATTTTAATATGTGTGATATTTGCGAATCTTATACTTAGTCTGACAGTTGTTTTTTGTTTGTTTTTGACTATTTTTGTTTTAAGTGTACATTTGACATTCGTTTAATCAAAAATGTATTTCACACAAGAGGCAAGTCATTCCTTTGTGATCTTGCTGGCCACCGCCACCAAAATCCGCTCCTTGTTATCATAAATTCGGCATTTTTTGGTAGCTGTTCTCAGTGCACATAATCGGCCGCACTTCCATTCCCAGGAATTAATTTCCACGAATTCTTCATCGTCTGTGAACCAATGTGCTGTTCTTCTATGGAACGGGAATCGATTGACAACGCCGCCCCTGTTAACGGAAGCCCAGAGTGATGGTTTCGTGGTCGTATTACGCTCGATTCGCCATGAAAATGCAACTTGGAGAGATTCGTTGCTGAGGGAACGTCCAGTACCGTTTTTATCATGAAATTTAGCTTTATTTATTTAGGAGGTTTTATCATGAAAAGCCGAAGTCGAAATCGATCAGAGCTATCGAAAACGAAAATCTAGGCAAAAATTATGACAAACAGAAAGATGCAGTAAACATAAACAACAACGGTGCAACCACAGACAAACAGACGTAACTCTTCATTGTGTATCTTCGTTCATGCATTTAACGGTTGATTTGAATATTATCAGTTCCGCGAACTACTCGCCGCAGCGCTGGCATCGGAACACTTTGACGTTTCTATATATTCTATAGAACTTTTATGCAATATTCTTTACGAGTTAGCGAGCAAGCTTGTTTTCCGCGAGAAGCCAGAGAGATGTCGGTACTGAGGTTATATGTTTTGAGATACTATGTTTTCAAGAACAAGTTTTTCAAAGAGTTACGTCTGTTTGTCTGTGGTGCAACGTCATTTAGTGTATGCGTTAAAGTTACACTGTTATTTTTTTTTACTTTGAAGCTTTCCGTTTGACAGTTAATATCATTAATATTTATACTAAAAATTATAATATCTACCAATTTGAGCAATTTTTACATCAAATATTACTTCAGATCAAGTTGTACTTCCCCTAGGGAGTCGCTTTTTACGCGGGTGATACGTCCCGCGTAAAAAAAACCGCGTAAATTCCGGAATCCGCGTAAATTCCAAAATCCGCGTAAAAAAAACCGCGTAAAAAAAGACCGTGTAAGAAAAAACCGCGTAAAAAGCGATATACCGCGTCAATTCTGAAATCCGCGTAAAAAAAACCAAAATCCGCGTAAAAAAAAACCGCGTAAATTCCGAAATCCGCGTAAAAAAAAACCGCGTAAAAAAAACCGTGTAAAAAAAAACCGCGTAAAAAGCGACCCCAGTGTAGTCTAAACTAGAAACACTGGAATAAGAGACCAGTGGAGAAAAAAAAAACATGAATTTGGCAACAAGATAGACATCAAAGCAATCCTGGCCTCACTTGCATTTGTAACTGCTTGCGAGTGACTTCGCCAATGCACCGATGAGCGAGTTCATGAGTGATTGTTAAACGATGTTAATACTCCTCCCTAATTGAAGCAAACCATTTGTAAACATTGCAGATTGGAACCGCTTTTGACAGTTCGATTGGAATCATAACAGTGTCTCCGCTGGTCTCTTATTCCAGTGTTTCTAGTCTAAACGGATCTTAAGTGTATTTTTCAACCGATTCGAGTATGAAGATGGCATTAAATCTGGTTTTGAAAGTTGGTGCATTGATGGTAGATTAATTACGCTACATCTCGTGCCACTTAATCGATAGTTTTCCGTCAAACTTTGATCGGGAAGAAACCGACAGAATTGAAACCATTTTTCTCTGACGATGCTGTCTTTGGGAAACCAGAAGAAACTGACATTATTTTGTAACGTTTTATTCGGTGTATTTTTACAACAGATTGCCGTGCATTTCAATGGAATTTTTCAAATAATGACTACACAAAATTGTGGGTTACCAAACCTTGCAGACAAAATAACTTATAGGGAATTTGTTTATTATCCAGGTTGGAACCCGAGCTTATTGTCAGTGCGAACCTCAACCCGAGCCAGGTTACAAAAACAAACGTTAACACTGACGTTTGAAAGGCAACAAGCAGACCCAATCTCGATACCCGATCCAGGTTGGAACTGAATCAAAAACAAATTCGCTATTAGCTGGCCGTGCAACCAGATTTACTTTTATTCTCTCCATGTGTCTCTTATAAAACATCGTCTCTGGCCGATCCGTTTGCAGCATAAAGCTGCCAAGGGGTACGTACGTAAATACTTGATTGATATCGCTCTTTCGTCGAAGCGAAAGATCTGATTAGGTGTCAATCAAGAATCGTTGGTTGGCTGTCCGATCGAAAATAATAGCATGACGGCTGCTAGTGTTTTGAACTTGCCCTAAAAAACATCCGCATCATAGGACATCAAGGCTATAGCCTTTAATGTCTTGTAAATTTGATTTGTTTGCTTTTTTCTGCATCACCTGGAAGGTCGTCTGAACTGGTAATCTTAGGATTTGCCCCAGTCGTCGCTCAATTTCAATTTTTAACATCTTCCGGAAATCTGATTATCTTTCCCTTCTTCCATTTACAGACGCAATTGCCAGTTCGGAGAACGTTCGCATAGCGCCGTCGCTCCGTAGCCAGAAGGGTGCCATCTGGACCAAGCAGCGCACCAACTTCGACTGGTGGGAGGTGGACATTGTGTTCCGCGTGTCCGGTCGGGGCCGTATCGGTGCCGACGGGCTGGCCTTCTGGTACAGCACGGAGAAGGGCGACTACACCGGAGAGGTGTTCGGCTCGTCGGACCGCTGGGTCGGTTTGGGTCTCTTCTTCGATTCGTTCGATAACGATAACAAACACAACAACCCGTACATCTCGGCCGTGCTGAACGATGGGACGAAACGGTTCGACCATACCAAGTGAGTGCCCACCAACTGATTATACATGTGTACAAGATATGCGACACGGATGTGATAAGAAATGTTCTTTCTGTTGTTTTCTTGCAGCGATGGATCTACTCAGTTGCTGTCCGGTTGCTTGCGCGATTTCCGTAACAAGCCATTCCCGACGCGCGCCAAGATTGAGTACTACAACAACATCCTGACGGTGCTGTTCCACAATGGAATGACCAACAACGACCAGGACTACGAAATGTGCTTCCGCGCGGAGAATGTGGTGTTGCCGAAGACCGGTTACTTCGGTGTGTCCGCCGCCACTGGTGGACTGGCTGACGATCACGATGTCTTCCACTTCCTGACCACGTCGCTGCATGTCCCCGGACAGATCAAGGAGGAAGTTCCACAGGATCAGGACCAGGCCAAGCTGACCCAGGAATACCAGGACTATCAGAAGAAGCTCGACCTGCAAAAAGAAGAATACCAGAAGGAACATCCCGAACTGCAGAAGGACGATCTGGAGAATTGGTTCGAAGATTACAACGCTCGGGAGTTGAGACAGATTTGGGAAGCACAAACGGCGACGCACGATCAGCTGCGGACGCTCAACACGAAGCTGGACGAGGTGATTGGCCGCCAGGAGCGAACACTCGGACTGCTCTCGGTTCAGGGCGGAGGAGGTGCGCCACCACCACAACCGGGAGGTGCACCCCAGATCGCTTCCGGAAGCACCATTCAGCGTCACGAAGTTGATGCGCTGCTGCGCAATCAGAACGTGCTGGTTCAAACGGTAACCGAGATCCGTTCGATTATCGGTGAAGTAAATACCCGAGCGGATTCGATTCTGAACAACCAGGCCCGCGCACCGACGGCTCAAATCCAGGGCGGAGGATATGATATACAGAGCTTGATGCACGAAATGCGAGACGGTATGAATCAGGTCAAGCAGGGCATGGCTGGAGTTACGCAAAGGTGGGTTCTTCGGATGAAAAGGGTCATAGAAAAATGACGCTTAATAACTTCTCTTTTCACAGGCTTCAGCAGCCGAGCGCGCAAGCGAATGTGCAATGTCCGACGCAGACTTGTCTCGGCATGACTACTTTCCTGGTAACGATACTTATCCACCTGTCAGTGATAGTGGGTTACAACATGTACAGGTAAGATTCATGTTTGTTTTCGAAACGATTCAAATCGATTCATTTGTTTGGAAATCGCACAATTTCAGAGACAGCAGGGACGCCCAAGCGAAGAAGTTCTACTAGAACGGAAAACCAACACTAGGCAAGCGCTAAGATAAGGTCCTGCCTGAACGTGCAAGATGTGCGTACCTACAGAGATAGAGAGAGACTGTCCATCCAACCAACCAACCAACCAACCAACAAACAAACAAAACATACAACAAATCAATCTACCGTACACACTATAAAAGCGTCAGTATAATGAATTTAGGTTAAACAATACGATTGGATTACGGAAAACAGACTCGCTCTGGCTGACACACTATAAAAGAAGCTCGAAGAGTCAGCAAACCATTAGGTGTTAGCACTGATAAGGAAGGTACAATTGTTTTAGTTGGTGAAGAAGAAAGTGTTGAGCTATGAATTCCGTTGCCTCGTTTGATTTGCATCTAATTACTTAAAACAATACAATGCCGTGACAGATTACTGCGTTGGATGGAGTTTGATTTTTGCTAATCTAAAACAATTCCTAGATAGATTTGGTTTTTGATTTTTGTTGAGTGAGATTTAGAGTATCAATGTTTTTAGTTTTCGTCGTAGCTACAATTAAAGGACAATTTATTCGCAACCCTTTCCCTTGCAGTCGTCGTATCGTATCGATCAGATTTTAATTTCCGCTTGAATCAGAACTTTTCTCCGGAGCCGGATGTTGAGTGTCAAAAGTCGTTTAGCAGCAAAGGTTAATTTTTCGATGGATTAGTAATGAACGTCGTCGGTGTAAATGTGTATTATGTTTGTGCATCTGTTTCACAAGAGCGAGAATTATTTAAAGTAAAATAAACAAAGTTTATTAAAAAAATAGTTCTGCAGTGTTCTAGCTTGGTTGTCCGAAAATATCGACTTGAGCCTTCACAGTGGGAGATGGGTTTTGGAGTTTATTTTAGATATTATAAAGTGCCTAAATCTTGCGCAATTAAAAAAAAACTGAACAACAACAAACAACGATATTAACTATCTGCACGCTGGATCAACATTTGAGTTTATAAAGGAGAGAGAAAGATTAGTAATTTCCATTTAATTCCACTACGTTATTTGCTTATCTTTGACAGATACGCGTATTTCGTCTACAATGTGCAGACTTCTTCAGTGTCTTGTTAATACTCGACTCAGTACGAGTTATTTTTGCTCAACACAATAAAAACAACCATACACAAACAACAACATCCATGCCTTAAAAAACGCAGTGCACTCAATTTTCCAACTTCCTCGCCATTGGCGTCAACTTTGACTCCGGCATCACTGCCAGTCAGGTGGCCATGCTTGGCATACACAGTTTTGGTAACGACCTGCTCATTTGCTAATAACTTGCATAATTTGCACACAGTTGACATAGTTCTTTTTGAAGCAGTAGATAGAATAGAGTTTAAGCTTGTTATAGATATGTAAAAAAAAGTGGATTTTAATTCTAGTAATAGGGGAATTTACGTATTCTCGGCAACCTAAGCAGCGGCCTTCTTTCTATAGCCTTTTTCTCTATGGAACGCACACATATGCAGTATTGGTTTGTTTACAATCTTTTGCTGCCACCTGCTCTAACAATTTCAGTCGAAAGAATTGTCAAAAACTGTTTTGAAACGCTTTTACAAAGCTCCAATCTTCTCTAGTGAGAGCGAGTATTGTCGGCAACCAGTTTTTCTTCGGCAACCATTCCATTTGAACTGCATGTAAATCTGCTGTTCTATTATCGGCAACTTGAAATCAGCTACAATTTGTAGTACGTGTGCTTCATTTCAAGAAAACCTTGCTAGATTGCTTTTTCTCAGTGGTAAAAATATAGTCAAATTGAAGCTGAAAGCATAAAGAATCGTTTGCATGCATACAGCGAAGTGTTTTCGTAGGAAAATAGTGTTTCAATTTGGGTTGCCGAAAATAGTCTGGCATGCCGAAGCCGTCATTTCCCCTAAACTGTATTTGTTTTTGCGTTGTAAAAATGAAGTGAGAAATGCTCGCTGCACATCTCGGACTTTAAGTGTAAAAAATCATTGGTTTTGATTCAAATGTTAAGATTTATCTACTCTTTGCATATCTATAGTAAACTGTGATCCTAATCTATCTCGATGAACATTTCAAATAGTCCTATCTGCTTTGATCGATTCTCTTCATCGACTTTCTCTTTTCATAACCACTGCTATGCAAACAGATTTCGCGCTAATTCTACCACATAGTTTGATAAAGGAGGTTCTTATCTAGCGTACAAAACGTCAAATACAACAGGGAAAGGTTTTACAGCTTAGTTATTAACGAAAGAGAAAATCGATGAAGAGAATCGATCAAAGCAGATAGGACCATTTGAAATGTTCATCGAGCTATCAATTACTTTAAAGAAAAACAAATTTCAACAACTGAGTGAAAAGTTATTAACAAATGAGCAGTTGGTGTGTACAACTGTCTATGCCAAGCATGCAATCCCGTCCCAGAGCTCTACGAATAACTTGCGTTCTAGAATTTGAAAAAAACGGAACTCCAATTTGGTGTAGTTTTAACGGCCGTGTATACATTGGAAACAAGTCCCAGTGGATATCTCACACGCAACATATTTGTTGGCTACAAGCTACTTGTTTACAACATTTCGAATTTCGAACTTGCATACATTCTTGCAAAAAGCAAGCTTCACGGCCGGTGAGATTCACTCAATTTGATGCTGGGCTTTGCTCGGGATGTCACTACTTAAAATTTGTTCCAATTTTGGCTTGTACCGCTTGTACCAGTCATGGCCTATGTGATACAAATGGATGGGCCCTAAAATTGGTATACCATTGAATAAATGGGATTGTGTCTATTCCATAACCGGCTCAATTACCCTACATTATTTTTGCCTTGGACCACGGCAGGGATAAAAATGTATGGTTATGTTGCATAACGACGTGTTCCGGATATCATCCAAACTATTTGTGGCATAATTCTATTATTTGAGTTACCTATATCGTTCGTTTATGTTAATTTTTTTATTAAGGTTTCCCTGTCCTAAAGACCTGTGAACTGCAGGGCTGTTAGAAAAGGCGCGGATCTCGCGAATTACGCGGATTTCGCGATTTTCGCGCATTTGTCGCGGATTTGAGCTTTCAGTCAAGAAAATCGCGGGAACATTAAATAATATCGCGAAAGTCGCGAAGGGACTGATGTGCTGTCACAAAAATTGTGAAATTCATTGTAACCTTTCCGTCCCGGATTATTTTGCTGTCTTCAATTTTGTTGTTCATTTGGCTCTCAATTTTTTACCGGTTCAAATAATCACCCTGCAAATAATCGAGAAATGATCTAAATTGCATAAGTCACACCGGTAAGACATTTTCATGGTTTTTTATTTCCAATATGAACATAATATTTTTCGTTATCAAATCATAAACGAGTCGTATATATGCGAGTAATTGCCATGTATACCGGGTATTCTAGGTTCTCTAAATCGTCCTGGAGTTCAGTTGATTTTTTCTACTATATCAACCAGGACTGCAATAATGTCTGTAGTATCGAAATATGTCCAAACAGATTCAAAGTGTCTATGTGTATCGTGTCCGACCTATTGCTACGTATTCAAGATGTTATAGGTTCTGAAATCATTCTGAAGATCTACTAGATCATCCAAGCCTTATTGAAAGTCTGTAGTATCGAAATATGCCCAAACAAATTGTAGTGTCTATGTGGATCATGCCAACCTATTTCCGTGTATGCCAAATGTTCTAAGATTTCTGAATCGATATTTCGATACTACCAATATTATCTCAGTCATGTTTGATCTAGTAGAATAAATCATCTGAACTCCAGAACGATTTGGAGAACTTTCGGTGGTACTTTGTATGGGAGTGAGCTGTCAATATGTTAGTTTTGTGTCAAACAGTGAAGTGAATAGTTTGCTTTAAATCTTGATTTAAAAATCAAGATAGAAGTAAATGGGATCGAAAAAAATATCGTTGTGCTCAGAAAACAAATCCCTTCCAGATGATGTATAGAAACCGATATATTTTTCAAAATTAAAGAACCCAATTATCGGAAAGTTCCTGCAATTTATTAATGGACCCGAGGGGGATGACACTATATACACACTTAAATTTTTTCGCCGAGATTCCAACAGCCGAGTAATTCTGCAATTTATTTTGCTGATATTCAGTCAAACAATTGCCGAGACTCAGCTAACAAATAACATTTTGCTGAGATATCAGCTAACAAACAGATATTTTGCAGAGATATCAGCAAAAGTGAATGCCGAAGTAGTCGGCTGTTGGAGATTTTACCGAGCTAGATTAAGTGTGATATACAATGTAGAAAATATTGTGTTTTGCTGTGGCTAGCTGAGCGCACACTGAGTAGATAGAAAGAAGAATGATGACGATTCTGCACTGAAAAAAGTTTTCACTTAGTTTCTATTAGGAACGCACATAATATTTTTCCAATAACAAAAATTATTATTTTTATCTGAATATCACATAGCATAAGAAATTCTATATGAGAAATCATATAGATTTCATTGGACACATAAAGTTCATGTGATTTAGTGGTGCAATTTCCAATAATGGGATCACATGAAAGTTATGTGAAATTTACATGGATATTTTCAACTATGTTATGTGATTTATTTTATGAGTGTGGAGATTTCCTGCAAAAAGATGATGCGCGATGCAAGTAGATGCAAGAAATGAAAGAAGATTTTTCGAAAATTGTTTCGGTAGTGTGAGATTTTTTGAGCATCTAGAATTGAGATTTAGATGTGTCGCCCCCCTCTAATTGACCTGCCACGGTAATTCACAACAACTCAAAATTGAGTCGAACATGCTCATTTCAGCGGGAAGTATGGCCACCGACAAACCAACATGACACTTAGGCTCTGAATCATTTGGTGGATTGTTTTAACTTGTGGTTAAAATTTGACAGATGAAAAGTTATCGATTAACTCTGCTATCAGAGCATGGTTACTTCTGACAGACAAGAAGTTAAATTTTGACAACTGTGGCTGAGTTTTTCTCGAAAACCAGTCGATCGACAGCACAGGGATTTTCGAACATAGAAAATAACTTTCGAAATGTCATTTTTAACCATGAGTTAAATTTAACTCGGCAAATGGTTCACAGCCTTAATTCTGACTTATGCCCGAAAATCTTAAACAACTGATTTAAATGTGCAGTGATCCGAACTGTCAAAACCATAGGATTTTTTGATCTAGATAAACAATTAAAAACTTTTGCATGGGGGTTCATGGCTTAGCTACATATTTCCCGCGAACACGGAGCCACACACTTAATCTTATATTTTTATCTCGGTAAAACAGATTGCTGAACCGATTCAAAACACGATTTTTGCTGATTTCTCGTTAGAAAACATGTTTTTACTGAATATCGGTATATACAGTTAACGAATTTTGGTTATATGAAAGTATTCACTGAAGTTCGGTAATGTTGTTTACCATGAATTTCGTTAAAATCTTGCTTCACCGACTTCGGTAATATAAAGTGACGACCCTCGGCAATTGAAAATAAGAGTAAATATCTGTCAGTGAGGCACATTCATTGTCAGCCATTTTGTCAGAGAATAAGTCGTCTGGTGCGTGCTTATAGGCTTGCTTATAGTGCGTGTAATTAAATAAAGTGAGAAATGGAGGAAATATTGCGGCAAATCCATGGTGAAGGAGAAGCTGTAAGCGAAAAACTACGTCAACTGATGGGCACGCTGATGGGCTACACCGCCATATACATTTTCACCTCAAAGAAAATAATTTTAATGCAGACATGATTTCATATGACTGCACTTTTTCAAAGTGTAACATAAGATATGCTCACTTCACATCTCTCAAAAAGCACATTATTCAAG